ATTACCGCTATGTATGATAAGGAATAATATAAATCTTAATTATTGAAACATATTTTAAACTAAAGACTTTTAAATACATTTGCGATTCAAAATTGTGATTGGTGAGATGAATTTTAGCGATCTGATTATTCAGAAACAAAACTTTTAGAAAACTGTTGGAAAGAAAACTATTTTCTGGCATCTTAATAAAATGATACAAAAGGAAGCACGTGTCTATCAAAATTATACTATTCTACAAAATATAAGAGTAATTTCAAAATGTTAGACTTTACTTTCAATCCTTTTTATTTACTTGTACAAAGTAAATGAAATATTGTAAATCTGAAAAATTCCAAAAAATCATATTTCAACCGAAATGTAAATTTTGACCGTTTCCGAATTGGTTTGGACGATTTGTTTTGTATTACCTCTTTATGTACCAACAGAATAAAGGAATAATGTTTCCAAAATAGAATGTAAAACGTGTTTAAAACGGATTTACAGGGATTTTTTGTAATGTATAGGTATGAGCAGAATAAAGGACACATGTGTTTTCTTAAAACGATTTAAAAAGAAGCTTTTCGTGACGTACATACGTATATATGTACGTATCTCGCGTAACTCAAAAGCGATTAGCCACAAGAAAACGTTTAAATTTTGTATATAGGACTAGTATAAAATTTAATTGAGCATCTCTTTTTCTTGCAGTCGGCAGTTTCAAATATATATATATATATATACGTCGACCCTCTTACCCGGCTTAAAAAGCCCTTTACCTCACCTTTAGTTTGGCAATCGTTGATTATAGTTATATACTAGGACTTACAGATATGTTTTAAATAAAGAAAATATTCCTGTTTTGGCATGTGATATCAAATTTAAAAAAAAAATCGACAAATAGAGAAATCGAACTTTAAATGAAGTCTCTTGTTCCATTTCTTACTTTCGGGAAAGTTTTATACCCGTTTATACTTTATGAAGAAAGTTTTGAAAAGTTTAGAAGTCAGTATTATTATTTTATTTTTTCATAAAGTTTTATACTTTATGAAAAAATAAAATTATAAGAAGTTAACTCCCATACGAGAAAAGTTGACCGGGATATTTAATTTCAAAATTTCCGATTTTTGATGTCATTTTCAACTTGGCTTGAGGGATCTCGTAATTAAATTAGAATAATTAGAGAAAATAAGTTTACTGAAGTGCAGCAAATTATGTGTATAATTTAATGTGCCGTACAAGGAAGTCATGTGGCGATTTTCTTATATTTCTTCTTATTTATAGCTTATTTAGAAGAGGCACATGAGAGATAGGGTTTATATGTTTCAGCTACTTTTGAAAAGCAAAAGAGAACGAGACTATGTAATTTAAGCTCTCGCTTTGAAATTCATTTTACTTTTAAAATCAAATCTCGTGCTTTATTTTCCTTTATATGTGTTACTCGCGGAATGATGTTGTGGAAAATTTCCCGGTTAAAAATACATTCACAAATGTTCATTATTTACAATAATTTCCAGTGAAAATCTCTTAGTTTGAACTTCCTGCAGTCGCCCCAGCTCAAGAATATTTAAAAAAGTAAAGAAATAAACTATTTATAAATATAAAACACCGTCCAGATGAGAACGAACCGTAAAACTGAAGAGAGGAATATAGCAGCCTTTACGCGACAAGTGCTGTTTTCTTGAGTCAAAAAAATGATTGCCCTATTTGGACCAAAATTACGAGGTTTATGCAATATTTTAACCAGAAAAATAATTTTTTATTATTTTGTGTCATTTTTTGAAATTGTTCATGATACTCTACATTCTCACTACGGTTTGTTCTTTTATTTTATTTTCGTTTTAGGATTAGGCTGAAGGCTCAGAGTTGCTTATTGGTTTTGACGAGTAGTAGAAAAACAGAATCAAAATACTTTATTATAATGTTACTTATAGTGTCTTGCTATACATGTTACATGAATAAAGCATTTGACCCTGGATTTTGATCTTGGAACATAATACACACCAATAAATAGGCATTCCTAAATTCCATTGTTTCAGAAACTCATACATATTTCTAACCAAAACCAAAATATTTCGAACCTTGAAAAACGTTTCATATATTTAGTCGTTCGAATGACTATATTTCCTAATTTTGTTTCAGCCTTTCATACGGATAAATAATCCGATCAAAATCAATAATACACTTGAAAAAAAAACGAATACCTTTACGCTAATCGCAGCCTTCAACAGGTTAACATTAACTTAAACACCTCTGAAGGCAAAAGGAAAACAAATCTCTATAAAAAGGAAACCAGAGTTTTATAATTTATTTTCTACTATTAAAGTCTGAAATATCTATTTACTGGAAATACCGATTTCGATTACTGGCTTGACGAATAACTTTTAATAATTTTTGACCTAATAACTTTCGGCTTTAAGCTTTTCAACAATTTGATAATAAAGATATGCATTGCTACGTTTCTACATCCGCACTGTAATTAACTAGAAGGAAATTTGTGATCTTTATGCTTCATATAAATCTCTTGGCCAGCAATCTAAGGCGTGTATCTAACATATCTTTTACTTTAATTGCACTCTAAAGTTAAACAACTGTAATGTATGATAAACGAGTGCGCTTTGTATAAGTGACATGGGTTATAATTATATAAGTGAACCCTGCATATCAGCGCTCTTATAATCAAGCTCAGCATCGCATTTAAAGAAGTGGGTCGTGAATTTCCATATTAAGTGTGTCATAGCAATCACAAGTCAAATAGATGTCGCTGTTCACACAAGTTTTAGATCGAACGTGGCAATACCGACCGGATAACAACTGGTTGATGAGTATTGTGAAATATGCGAAACAAGTTTTCGTTAGAGGCATAAATAAATATGTGTTTGCTGTACAAAGTAATACGTATAAAGTGTTAAAATAGATCATCGAATTCTCTATCGGAACAAAATAAGATGATCATTGGTACATTGTGTGCAAAAGGTTTAGAAGTTTCTGTGTATATTTACTAAAAGTTTTAACATGTAGGTTTGTTTTAAACCGTAATAGACAATTTTTTATGATTTTTGATTTTTACTACAAAATCGTTGACAAGCAGAATTCAATTACATTTACAGCTCTGTTAATTATTTTATATATTTTATTTTCATCGAATTAGAAGGAAAATACAAGATATTTCATTGCAAATTTGACAGGGCAAACTATCATAGAAATTAATTTACTGATTCAATCTTCTGTTGTGGTTCAACATACTTAAAATATACAAAAAAGTGGATTTTTTAAAATGTGTGTTGTTATATCAAGATGAGCGAATCTCAGATGTGTATACGGGCTGCTTTCTTTGACGGAAATGTGAACAGAAGTTTAAGCATAGAAAATTTGGAAAAGATCGTATTTGGAAAAGCTTGTTAACTGAGTGTGAGCTTTTTCTTCATTATTTGCAACAAAAGACACGAAGAACGTAAGAAACGTTCTTCTGCTCCTTTACCAAAAAGACCCATAAATTTCTAAAAAACTACGGCTGCCTTATTTCATAGATCTCTCACCCGTGAATTAATTTTCTTTCGGGCACTACTAAAGAGAGCAATGCATAGGAAAAGTTCAAAAATGTTCAGCGAAATTCAACAGCAACGAAATTTTACTTACTAAAGATGATGTAATCAGTTTTATCGGGCTTAATGCAAACGTGAAATCCTGTGTATAAATACTATGAGGGGGGATTTTTAGCATATTTATTCCTTATTTGGGAAACCTATATCTGGGATCTACATCTACATTTAGCTGAGGATCCTCAGCTGCATTTGCGCTTTTGCAGCTGAGGATGATGGTTCGGACCAAGGACCAAGGTGTTTGGTTAAGGAGTACCTTTGCAATAAATTACAATTACCTCCACATCATCGTTAATGAAATATGAATTAAATTAATAATATGATGGTATTAATGGTAATTAATGAAATATGTTGGTTCGGTAAAACCATCGAAACTAGTCCTGTGAACATTTGAAAATATAACTCTGATTTTTATTGTTTGACTTCTAAATTAATACTTATTCGACGTGTTATTGTATCTTAATGAGACATACTTGTTTTCCTTTGGAATCTTCAATTACTTTAACATTACAGATAAATATTATTTCTCATATATTTTAGATAAAATTACATTAATAGCTGTATATTGTGAAAAATAATACGCAGAAAATGAACCGTTTTCAATATATATATATATACTCGTATATATGTATATATATATATGTAAGCCGATCTGACCGTAGGTTATCCAGAATCAAATATTTTCAGAAAAGAATCCCCTGCCTCAATTAGTTCGAGAATTCTAAATTTGCAGGGAACCAAAGATCATTAACTGCTGGTTGAATGTGATGACTAGAACTTTGAAAACTGTCTTTGATTCTTCATATTTTTCGGTACTTAAAAAGGCGGAAGGAGGGAAAGGGGCGAGATCCAGTTATCTAAATTAAGCTGCTGACGCTTATCATCCAACTACATTTTAGTTTAGGTATTATTAGGTTTTTGTTGTAGGAGTATTTAAAAGTCAACATTTCCTCTCTGGAAATCAAATTCGGAACTTTCTACCTGATAGCTATGGATTTACTGATCATTGAGCCCCAATGATATAATGTGAGAATTGTTTGTAACTCTTCCTTTCCACTTAAAGGGAGGTTTGGGGGAAAATAAGATGCATTTGGTTGAAACCAGTTAGTCGGAGTTGTGTTGTCGTTTAGTGTTCGAGTGTCGTTGTAGAGCCAATAAATTTATGGAAATAAGATGTCTTCAATCGTTATGTCGCCACGAATAAAGCCCATGTTCTTTCGTTTACTAGCTGGATGGACCGATCTCTATGGCGAAAAGGACGCATGTATGAAATTGCTGCCATTTTGAAGATTGTATCGGACACTTTGCACTTACACTTAAGTATCTGAAATTTAGAACTGATCTGAAGTCAGATTGAGAGCTATCGATCGTTTCAGCGCGTGAGTTTTTTAAATTATTCTTTTTAATTTACAATCACTGAAGCAAGAGTATATATTGTCGATTTCCTTCCCCAAATTCGTCATTCGTATACAGAAATATACTAAAAGCTGTACCGTTTCCTGTTCGAAGCAAAACTGGTAAGAATTTTTCTCATGCATCTTTTCTAACTGTTGCTTTTCAGATGCTTCGTTTATTTATTTATTATTTTTCCTTTTCGAATATTTAAAATAATTTAATTGCATTTTAAAAACCATTCTATTAATTTAAAAAGAAAATCAGTATAATGGGAATTAAACTTAGACAGAAGTATATGCAAAATATTAAGCCATGCTTATTTTTTTAATTTATAGGTTAATAGATTATTGTTAACTTCTTACTATAGTTATTTAATGCTTTAATTTTGAGAAACTGTTCAACATGGCCTATATCAAATTAGAAGACAAAATTAATATAATACAAGTAAATTTGCCCCAAATTATCAGCAAGTTCCCGAAGATAAGCTCAAATTACTTTTTGATTTTTGTGAAATCATTTAATATTAGTCTATGAGAAAATTTAATTTTAACCTTCACAACACTATTCAGTTGTGAAGTTATTTAAAGCTTACTTGCGTTCTGAGAAAATGCCAGGTTTTAATACCTTAATACCTGGTTTTAATACCTGGTGTTAAAATTATGTTTTATTTCTGTTAAATAAAATTAAATAAATTTCTGTTATTAAATTACTTACACTTTTCCTGCAAAATCGCTTCCTATATTAGGTGCGGGAAATAGATAAAATTGACCCTGTATCTGCAAGTAATCAAACCACGAATTTTTCAATACTAGCTGGATATGCTTACACCAGAACGACATGCAAGGTGGATTTGCTGATTATGACCAAAATAAACATTTTGAAACGTTACAAAACGCTATTTAAACAAAAGAAATAAAAAATGAAATATTTTAACGCTTAAATATATCAGTTATCCTTAAAATAAGATTTGCAGTGACTTACAATAATATTGTGCTTAGCATATATGGCTATGTGTCAATATTCTAGAACTGTAAAAACAATTAAACGACTTATCGTCCCGTCCACCTTTTAACTACAGGAATTTCAACTCAAAGTGAACGTTTAAAATAAACATATTCATTAGCACGTCAACTTAATGGTACCTAAAAACTACAAAGTATTACAAAAATCCCGAAAAAAATTACAATAATTGTAAAACTAAGAATAATTACAAAACTTATAAGATATTCTCCCTTCTTCTTAGCATGCCATTGTAGTGTAGTGGTCAGCACACTCGACGCGAGTTCGAGTCCCGGCGAGGGCATTGCTCATTTTTCATATTTCCTGCTTCCAAAATACCTATTATCTCTACAAACTTCAATATATAATAGAGACCTAACTCCGCAACTTACAGGAAATTCAGAACAAATGTTCAAGTCAAATTTAAATGTTATCTATAAATTAACTTGATCTAATAAGAATTTCTCGGTCCCAAGTATTCTCAAAGCAAAACGACAAAGATAAAGCTAATAAATTCTATCCAAATAGAAAAGGCAGAATAATGTTCAGCAAGTACTATCAAAATCTCTCTCTGTAAACTCAAGCAATTTGTTTTTATTTATACTTTAGTTTGCATTCTGATGAGAATTGATGAAAGTGGAAAATGAAAGTACAGGAAAACTAACAAGATAACTAGGCCAATTAAATATGAACTTTATAAGCGTTATAATTTTATAAGGCAATGAATTATACCAATTTTTAAGCTTATCAATTTTAAGCTCGTTTTAATATTTTAAAAATAAAGTAATAAGTTCAATTGATAGTTAATTTTATAAAAAAATTAACTTGATTTGAAGATTTAAAAATATATTTCAACTAAAACTGCTTGCTATCCTAAATCTGAAACATAAATCTACTCTATAGTGTAGCTTTTTAAAAGAATGAAAAGCTGAGCTACCTTTTTAAGATGGTCAGTTTACAACAAGGCCCAGTAAAATACAACAGAGCTCATGCATAGCATATGGATTCCCTGATCCGGATCGCTTTTGCTCTTTACATTCTACAGCAATATAGATGAATATGTTTCACTTTCTTCTGTACAACCATAAATTGATAAATAAGGGCAAAAATTTATTAATTTATTACCTTATGTTATTAATATTGTTATAAAATAGAATAAAAAATTAATAATGCTGTTAATTTTATTATCTCAAGGAAAACAATATATCCTTATTTATTTTGTTTTGGTCGGATAAAACATCATTTCCTTGTTTTATTTTAAAACAATAAAAATAAAAACAGGACTTTGTGTTTAGTTTAAACAAATAGTATATTTATTTATTTATTTGGTCGGGAAAAGAAAATTAGGGCGCAGATTTAAGTAAACACAAACAATTTTATTACTTAGTTTCATTTAAAAGAAACAGAGTGCTTCTTCTTTCTTTTCTCAAAAATAAAAACTTTTTACTTTTATTTTTAATCTAAAGAATAAAAATATGTAAAATTGCTTCAATCAGATTTGAGAATAATTGTCTATTGATTTAACTGATTCTGGTAAAGCATGCGAGGGCAGCCTTCCTAAGACAAAAGATGGCGCAGTGGATTCCTTTCTAAATGTCAGGTTATTTGAATGTGATAAAGCCAAGTAGGGCTCTCTGTTTAAGAAGAAGGATGCCATCATGAATGACTTCTGAGGAAAACTGGCTCGCATGCATGTTACATGTAGAGAAAACCAAGTATGCCCGCAGCCCATTCTCTTGATATCGAACTACCAGTATTAACTGGTCGTAATCACTCGGCCACTGGTGGGGTTTACTTTCTAAGAGAAATAAATATTCCCGTATGCACATTAGAGATGGAAATCAACGAAAATACTCGCGCAGGCAGCCCATTCGAGACATTTCGAACCTTAATCAAACTGCAAGGGTTCAGCTGTCTTCTGAACTCTGCCGTTAATAAAGGTAAATAGGTAAATCATAAATCAGTCTAAAGGAAATAATTATAATCATAATAAACAATTATTCAGATGTCCCAGTTAATGCGGATTTTAGGAATTCTACTCCTGTTAGAATTCAGGGTTATACTTTACAATCTTTCATAAAGAATCTGTGAATCAAACTAATAAATAAATAAAATTACCTGTTAGAATGCTTAAGAAACAAGCCCAAACAATTACTCGTGTATACTAAGTTTAAAACTTACTCAAGCGAGAACATGATAACTCTTACTTTGTAGAAATAGGAGCCAAAGAAAAACAAGATCCTACACATCAGATGACGGAAATCAGTGATGTTAAAACGTAAATGACGCATAAAAACAAATAAAACATGACAACACAATAAACGAAAGTTTTTGGGCAGAAAATTGGATCTAGGAAACGTTTTCAATTATCAAGATTACAGCAACTCGTGTCGTTTGAAGACAGACTTGTGCCTGAGGCTTATTTAAAATGGCAAAGAAAGAGATAAGAAGCAATTTGTGAACAATTTATATTTCTCGACTTCGCGCTATGATTGTAATGGCGCCTGAGATTTGGAGAAAGAGATAACATTTTTACATGCGCATGAGGAAATAATTAAAAGATGGAATGTAAAAAATTTCCTTCACTTCCTGTCGTATTTGATTAAAATTTCCGGCATCTGAAATAATCGTTTTATTGCTAAATTTTTTGGGTGGGGGAGAGAACCATTATCTTTTGCAGCTCTGGTAATATTTACTTATCGCTAATAGAGTATTAGAAGCGATTGATCTGTTTTGTAGTTGAATGTTTCAAATAAAATAGAATGCACCTTTTCCTAGCTTAAAAAGAAATTTCACTTTTACGAGACATGTTTTTCTATTAATGAAAAGGCCCACCAGCGGCCGAGCGGTAAAGACGCTGAACACTGGTAGTTCGGTCCGAGGTTCGAATCCCCGCGAACGGGCTGGCTGCATGGGCGTTTTCGTGGTTTTCCCCATGTGTAACGTGTATACGAGCCAGTTTCCCTTAGAAAGTCCTCCACGAAAGGCATGCATCCCTCCCTTTAGGCAGATAGCCCTCGTGTGCTTTGCCATAATTAAATTAAATACACCTATTAATGAAAAGAATTTTTACCTTTACAAAGAAAGGTGAAAAGTAAAAATAAGATCAATTAGAATGATTGCTGAAAAATAGGATTAATTATCCTACATACAGGCTTACGTCAGGTTTTTCAAGATATTTTGAATGCCTGAGAGGAATAGCATGGTAGGAAAAAATATGTCAATTTTGGCTTTCTTAAAGTCCTTCGCAACGAAAACAGCACAGCAAATTTTGATTTTTCCATATTTGATCAGGCACGGTAGTATTCTAGATGTTGTAATCTTATGTAAATGATGATAAGATATTAATAGTTCATCTGGTTTGGGCGGTTAATCAAAGAAAATACTCGTGCAACGAAAGAACAAAAATACTTTCTTTGAAGACCTGGGGAAGTTCAAAGACTTTTCAACATAAATTAATGGTATTACACATGTATGCGTTTCCGTTTTACACTATTTAGACTTATAAGCCTTTCCTGTAAAATTTCTCATATGCAAAAAGTATCTCCGGAAATCTATACTTTGCCAAAGTGGGAAAGCTTAAGAGGAAATAGTGTAATTTTATTTATTTATTTTTAAAGGTTATATGAAAGTATTAGACGTTTTTTTAAATTCAGCTTCTGTCTTTGATGTTGTAAGGATCTTAAGTTTTACTAACGTTTATTTTATTTTAAATCTTTACTATCACTTCTTATTTTCTACTTCCGGCCAGAATTAAAAGCGTTAACTTATTTATGCAAAATTTGTCTGGCGAACGCCAAGTACTTAAGTTGTGGCTTTTTGCCAAGCGAGAGAGAGGAAGAAGTTAGTCGAAGCAGGCCGCTTGCCTTAGAAGTTTTACTCGGTTGCTGTTGCCTTCCAGGCCAGAGTTTAATCCTCGTGGTAATTTTTAAACGTATTGTAGTGTTAAAAGTTCTCTGTACTACATACGGCTTTCTGTTAATATCCGGTCAATCTACACGTAGACCCTTGTGGATTATTCCAATTTAAGTTAGAGTTTAGTTATATTTTATATTCTTACGTTCAGACCACATCGTGGTCTCTGTATTCCGAAGTACGGAAATTATTGTAAAGAGTGAAAAAT